CCCCCCCCCCCCCCCCTCCGGCTTTTCTTGCAGGGTTAGCGTAGGCAGTCCTTGCCCGGGCCACCGGCCACCTATGGTCAGAACGAGCGCGGCAGGAGCAGGCGCAGCGCGGCAGGATGGATGCTGCCTCTGCCAGCTCTGGGCCCGACGAAGCCCTGGATGTGGAAAGCGAGCATCTGTGGAGGGCGGAGGAGGAAGCCGCTGAGGAAGAGATCCGCATGGCCGAGGAGGCAGCAGCCGAGGCAGCCGAAGAGCTTTGGATGGCGGAAGAAGCTGCGGCCCAAGAGATGGCAGAACTGGAAGAGTTTGCACAGGAGGCCGAGCACTGGCTGAGCGAGGATCCCGTGCATTCGCTTGTAGACACTCAGGCTCTTTTGATTTCGCCATGTAGTAGTGTAGCCCGGCACTGTTTTTTTCCAATCCCTTTGTCATGCCAGGAGCAGTTGCATTACATGGGCGACTTTTTCGAAGAAGATGCTCTGCAAATGGTTTCCGATGCCGAGGACTTCGAACAAGCCATGGAGCAAGAAGCCTTCGGCGAGGGCGATTCCGACGATGACCTCTCTCTCTTTGGCGACGGGCTCGGGCAGGGTGAAGACCTGACAGATTTCAACGACTGGGGCTGGGATCCGAACGGCACCGCACAGATGGCAGCGGCCGGTCTAGAAATTTCTTGCCAAGCAGCCTGGGAAGTGCCCAGAATGCCGCTGGGTCAGGCCGAACTGTGGCACTTTGGCCCCAACGGGCCACCCATGAACATCATGGATATCTGCCCCGTGTCACAAGCACTTTGGATCGCCAACCAGCGCCAGCTCTTCGGCTTTTCAATGGCTGGCCTGGAAGCCCAGGTTTCTCAGCCTCGCATCACTGACGTGGACGTTGGTCTGGCGGGCGCAGTCTTGACCTCTTGTGCACCGGAGCTCAGCGCGCAGGCCAACCGTATCCGATGCGGTCAACTCGGTGGTCAGTCCGTGGTCGTTGCCGTGGACGCGCAGGGTGGTGTTTTGGTCGTGCCGTCCCCCAGCAGCCCCAGCAGACAACCGGTCCTCAAACTGCAAAATGCCAAGATTGGCCAATCCTCATCTGCTGGTGTTTCTACCTGGGGCATTGGACTGTCTCCCCATGGGGAGCCTGCGACATCTGATGGGCCCCTACTAGTGTCTGCGAACGACCACTGCGTCAAAGCATGGTGGCTAACTCCTCCCCAAAATGTGGATCCGAGTATGATGCCATCGTATCCTCGAAGGGCCGAAAGGAGCTGGCAGACGAGACAGGCCAACATGCAGCCATCACTACTGCACTGTTTTCAAGACAATCTTCCGAGCATCGACGTCGCAGGGGGACGTGCGATTCTGGGCTCCCTGGGAGGTGAGGTCAAGGTGCTCAACTTGGCACGTCCCTCCTCGGGAAGCTCCCAGGCCAAGGAGGCTCCGACTCCTCCCACCGTTGAAGAGACGAGCGCCCTGGAGGACCTCACCTCGGACAGTGCCGGCTCTTCCCGGCCCCGGCGCCCACCGAGGTTTCCCCCCGAGAACGAGCCTGCCAGCATCATTCGAAGCTTTGCCCCCGAATCGGATGGAGGGATGAGGAGGTGGGCAGCAATGAAGTGGGGCTTCTGATTCTGCTTCTTGCCCTTTGCATTGGGTGATGGTCTAGACTCTGTTCAGTCTTGGGATTTGCCTTTCACCCTCTTTCCGCTCAGGCGTGAAGTTTAAGGCTTAAGGGTCAAACGCCCGTTCTCTGGATCTCTCGGTTGTCCGATGCTGGAGAGTGCTGCTGGCGGGACTCTTAGGAAAACAGCCCACCCTTGAAGGCTCTGTGGCTCGCCTCCTTGCATGCCCTGGCAGGAAAGCATGGAATGCATGCTGGATACCTCTGAGATGTGTCCACGTCGTGGAAACACCTCCATGCCAACAGCCAGGCGTGGCCGCACACCAAGTGGGTATTACGTCTATGATGATGTGAAATGAGTGTTGTAATGATGCTCCGATGCTCCCATGAGCCACTTCATGGTGTCAGGTGACAGTCTACTGGACTGGACTGCTGATGGCTGCCTGCTGCCTGCAGAGATCATACGATCCTTTGTTCTTCCGCTGCTTGGAGCTCAGGACGAGAACTTCCTCAGATGTTCTGTTCATTTTGTAATTGTTTCTGTACAGGCGGTTTGGACCTGGCATCTTGGCCAGGACCTGCTCCAGCGCGTGCAAGTGCTGAACTCTGTGCATGCCGAAGAAGCACGGGCACAAGTCCTGTCAGGCACCTCCAGAAGCCAAGTAAGTTAATGTTCGGGCTCGGTATGAATCTACCTTCTGTGAGCCGCATCGGTCTGCAGGCACCCGGGCAGAGCACATGGCCATGATCTTCTCTGAGACCACAGTTTGGCTTACTGCAGCTTGGACCATGAATGTTCCGGGCGGGCTCGCTTCTGAATAGCCCCTGTGTTAAAAGCCGGATTCGTTCTCCGAAGGGCATGACTTCACGCATGCTTACCAGGCAAGAACTTACATCCGTTTCGAGTCACACGTCTTGCGGAAAGTCGTGCTACACTACTGAGTCTCCGCAGTCGATGAATCTTGCACTCCATATGCGTTTAAGTGTCAACCAACACGTGCTTTGCCTCAATTGTCAGGATGGCTGCCTGAGCATGCGCTGCAAGCAATCGCTTCCATTCAATGGTGCTTTTGCACACGCCGTGTACATGCCCGGTTTGTCCACCGTGGCTTGGCCCGCTGCGATGTGAGTTCGTGAAATGTCGGCGATCGAGGTAGAGCGAGCACCTGCTGCACTGGAACCTGAGGTCGTTGTGTCAACCAAAATGGATTCGGTCGCCAGGATGCTGTGGGCTGTGACAGTTCTGAGACGGAAGCGCCCCTGGAATGCACAAAGGTCGATGTATCTCAGTTGGGCAGCTCATCAAAGCATACTGGTTTGACTGCCTGACGTAAGGCTCGCTGCGATTTGAACTGCGGGTGACTCCACTTGCCGCTTCAGCACATCAAGACATGAGCATTGTCCGAGCGAGGACATCAAGGTTGCCGGTGTTTCAATGGCTGAGGAAGTTGAGCGTGGCCTACGTTCCATGCCATGGCCTCGCAACATCATTGTGGGCATGGCGGCTGCTCCCCGGAACCGACTCTTCGTGCTGTGGCTTGGCCCCATCCGCTGCGCCCTGGATGCAACAGTCGCTCGATACATCAGACACGTTCACCCAAGGCACAGCGGAAGCCGGCTGATTTGTTACAACCTTGACCTGGCGAAGCGTGAGCCTGTCGCCGGCACCGGTGCCGACAATGATTCTTTGGGCCCATAGGGCCCCAGTGCAGGTGCATGTTCACGCGACAGGTTTCAGCTGCATGATTCACGCGCGGTACCTGTACGCTGCAAAGAAGAACTCTGAGCGCCAATGGGCTCCCCAGCTCAAGCAGCGGTGTCGATGCCGCACGGAGTGGCTAAGCTCGGCAGTGCCAAAGGATTGCAAGAGGATTGGCCTGGTCCCACTTGTCCTCAGAGCATTCTGGGCCAGGCGCTGGCGCCGGCGTCAGCTGATCAGGCAAGAACCCCATAGAACCCTGCAAGAAACAGTGCTGACGACGTTTGGAGCCCTGGAAGACCAGGCGGTGACTTGGAGAACGGTGCGCAGCGCACCACGCAAATCGCCGTCTGCACCTTCGGAGGCCGTTCTCGAAATACCATCCATTGGCGATCAGCGTGCCATGCTTGCTTTGGCAGGTGTTCCCCCGTGAGGTGGGTGATCTGGAGGTGAAGAGTTCAGGCCTTTTGGAGCTCGGGCCTTTCGCCTCCGCTGAGTCCGTCTTGGCGCTTGTGCTTCCCAGGTCGTGTTGCCACTTGACCATCTCTTCGTGTGGAAGCTTCATTGCGGCATCCTTCGCAGACGGCGCAGCGGTCCGCGGCCTACCGGAAGAGGAATCCCACTGCGATGCTGCCATGTCAAAAGCTCGAAAGACACACCTCTTCGTGCAAGTGCTATTATACGGCCAAGGATTTGCTGGAATTCCCTACTCTCAACCCGCTGCTGCAGCAAGGGCCTCGGTTTGGGGGCAATTTGCTGTTGCTGCACATCGCTTGCTTCGCTGAGCTCAGGCTTCAACACGGCGAGCCAAGTGGACCTCGCGACAACGAGAAGGTTCAAAAAGCGACGCTCGGCTGGGTTTGCGATGTATGGAGCTACGCCCCGTGCTGAAGTGTACGACAGCTTTCTATGGCAACAGACTTGCCCAGGTTTTTCGTGTGGCGGCCCACTGCGACACAGAGAGCTTATGATCAGAACCTTTATGTAGTCAGCAGACTGCGCAATCCCTGGGAGGCACGCCAGTCCACTGCGCAGCACAGTTTATAGAGATTGAGGAAAGTAGTTTGGAGGATAGCTGGAGACTCCTCGGAAGGCAGTCCTCCACGAAGTGTACCCCCTGGGCGATTCGTTTGCCAAAGCGCCAACAGCCCAATTCGCCCTGGCTCCCGTCTGCCAGGCGGCAAGACATTGAGCTTTGTGAGGGTGTAAACAATTTCAGCAGTTGCAGAATTGCGCAAAGGCTGCTGGAGGAGTCTTCACCGACCTCTGCGCACATCCATCACAACTGTGCTGCAACTGCAAAGAGGGTCTCCCAGTCGCTTGTGATTGCTAATCTATTGGAACTTAGAGTGCCTACAGGAAGTCCCCGCTTACGTCAAGAACTATCGCAATTTATCGATCGTGAATCTGGAGTCCGTTTATCTTGACGGTATGGCTAGTGCGGAATGGCGCGGAAGGCTGGAAGGATGGAAGGACAACAGCAGCGCTGGCGACCGGACCATCATCATGCTCAACATGATCGCAGAAGTCATCAACACACCACGGTCGAAGCACCAACCCATAAGGCACCAGTTCCGGGCCGCCGGGAGCTATCGGAAGCGCCGCGACCGTGAGAGTGCGCTCAGAGAACACGACTCAACAGCATCGGCAACAGGGCTTTGCGTGCCATAGGGTTAAAGCCAAGTTCTGTATCGGTGGGAACAAGCGTGGGAGGGACACGATCCTGGAGAGTTCAAGCCTCCAGTCACAGTCCAAAGGGAACAAGCAACACTGAAACATGCGACAGGATGCGTGATTTTGCGCAGTGGAAGTGAATTTGTTGCAGCATTTGAGCGCCTGCAAGAACTGATCGAAGTCGGGAATCTCCGATGATCCTTCGTGTCCAACCCTGGTCTCGTTCAGGTACCTGGTTGCTTCGGCGGTGCTACCTTCGAGTGATGTGAGGCTTTTCAGTTTTAGGGGCAAAGCTGTGCCAACAGCGCCCGTTACACAGTGCATTGGCAACAGGTCAATTATTCTTGTCTTCGACTTGTGGAGCGGAGAGCTACTGAAGTCTTGCCCGGTCTTCAACTCTTTGTTAGCGGGCCCCTCAACGACTGCGAGGCTTGAAAGAACGTGCTATTGCAGCTGCAACACAGGATTGAGAAGACTCAGGTGGCACCTCTGCTACCCCTGCATCCATCAATCTGCTTGGATTGCAGTGGCGGCTTGACACCTCCAAGATCTGCGACATGCCTTGCTGCTGCATGGTTCGGGTCCTCCGGTGCCTTGCTCCGCCCTCCCAAGGCTCCTACATTTTTTGCGCATCCACACCCGGCCCGCTGGGCCCGATCGATTTGCATGTCGGGCACGATTCAGGCGGGGCCCGTTCTCTCAGCTGAAAAGCCTTGCCCCTGAGTTCACGACAGTGCAGGTGCTGTGCCAAGCGGCTATGCATGCAATGATTTGCTGCACTCGATCTGGCCTTCCTCGCATGCTGCGTCGGCAGCGGAGACTCAAAGCATTGTGGAACATGATTTCGGATTGATTTGGGTGCTGGGTATCGTGAGCCGGTTCATCCTGTTGAAGAGGTTGAATGATACCGCTAGCCGCTAGACGCAAGGGACATCGTCGAGTTTGATTCACTGTGTGCGGTTTCGTCGGTCCGTTTCATCATGTGCTTTCATGCTGGCGACTGAGGAATCGACTTCGTTGATCTGCGTCGTCGACTTCAGCTCCGGCGAACAGTGCTACCAGGCCTGAAACCGCGACCGTCCACAGGTTCATCAACCTAACCTTCTTATGCACAGACGCCCCATCACGACATGCGTGTGACAAGGGGTTTCAATTTCGCATCGGCAGGTGAGTATCAATGCTAACTGCATTAGTCTGGGCATCTCGGCCGAAGTGGTGCTGGCCGTGCTGGCCCGCGCAGTTTGCATGAAAGGCTTACAGCCGAGGCTCTCCCTGGCATGATCCTGGCCAGCTTCTCGTCGGTTCTGCTCTTACGAAACCCCAGGTCTACTATAAGGTGAACGAGCCCTCCTGCCAAACTTCATGAGGTGCCCGTGATGGCACGATTTCCGTGTGGCAGCCTCCGGTGGCCGTCTCCTCACGGATCCGAACAGTGCTTCAGGAAAGTCTGGAGGTGCCCCTTGCAGTCCAGGTGCAGGTAGCACACCTCTGCCCCAAAACATTTTCAGGCACACAGCGTGGTGAGAGATGCGACGAGACAGCCGGATTCGACATTTTGGTCGTTGGCTTCCAAGCTCTCGCACGTGGAGGAAGCTGTGTCTTTCTTCTGGGCCACAAAGCTTCTCATCAGCAGTTGCCAGAGGCAGAGAAAACCGAGAGACGCAGAGGCAACAATTACCAAATAGACATCATTTTCCCCTCGATGTGCAGTGGCTGAGCCCTCTCGTACTACCGGTGGGCGAAAGGCACTTCCACCTGCTTTTTGGGGGCCTCCCTCTCCCGCTTTCCTGAAGCTGCTGGCTGCAGTTATGTCAGAATGGCGCGCTTTTGGATCATGCTCCCCTGACCCAAGAGGCGATCGAACCCTTTCGAACTGTAGTGCCGTGCCTGCTTGCATTGATTCGGCCAGGTGCCGGGCACTCCACTGTTTGTTCGCGCTTGCTGCCTGTATGTGTGTACACGTATGTTTGTCGGCCTATCTACTTAACCTCAGCAGTGGTGAGCCTTCATCAGGGTATTTCGCACTGCGTCGTTGTTGTCGTTGTCGTTGCCGTTGTCGTTGTCGTTGTCGTTGTCGTTGTTGTTGTCGTTGTTGTCGTTGTTGTCGTTGTTGTCGTTGTTGTCGTTGTCGTTGTTGTTGTTGTTGTTGATGTTGATGTTGTTGTTGAAGATGTTGTTGAAGATGTTGTTGAAGATGTTGTTGAAGAAGTTGTTGAAGATGTTGTTGAAGAAGTTGTTGTTGTTGTTGTTGAAAAAGTAGACGAACTCAGAAGTCTACACAAACAGAGCTCAACCCTGAAGTCAGCGAAGCACTCAGCGAAGTCCTCTTTAGCCCAAGCGTCTTGAGCCACACGCGAAGTGTGGAAGTGCAGGTCACAGCTGCAAG